ACCCATAACTCAATCTTAACTCATGGTAACTCATGTTACCAATCACACCCATAAGTATCCAACGAATACTCCATACCTGCCACTTTTCACTGAACCTTATGRGAACGAAATGATGCCACTGGTCCTCYGYAACGACCACAGGTTGATTCTGCAACYTTTCACTCAGGTTGTTTTGTTTGTAATCTTTCCAAAGACGACGTTTGACATCCTTGCATCTGCTACCTAATGCACTCATCACATATTATTTTCTCATCATCGGATCATCAAATTGAAATTTGGCCTGAAATGACACCACATAAAATGAGTCATCAGACAAAGTATTGTCTTAGAACATCCCATAATCTATCGAGATAAAAAGATGTTACCTGAATTACTTCCCATGCCCTTTCTTTTGTGTGAGGATTAACAGTCGTCCAATCGATGTAGTTAATGGGTAGCAAATTCAGATCATGGCTTAATTGACCTAACCACGATCCAAGTAAACCTCCAGAATCTCCAATTGATTAACCACAATCTTCATCAAAATGCACAATCACTTTGCTGTTTTAGAATTTCCAGACATCTCTGGATGTCACCATTTTGCCTTCTATGTTCCCCCATCAGTATCTTGTTGATGAATACATATAGATTTTAAATAAAAAATTAAATTAGTATATCATAAATCAAATTAACATATATACGAGCCAAAAAAAATTCCCAACTAAAAAATATATAATTATTACTTAGTGGATTCATATTACCWATCACTTGTACTTTCCATTTGAAACTGTTACATTCTGGAGCAAGTGGAGGAGGCATATTATTGTAATTTGTTTCCAAATYTGATAAATCATCCGGAGGTTGTGTCTCTGAATCCGTAAAATCCATGGTCCTAAAGAAAGTAAAATTAAATAAAACTAGTTAGCAAGACTAGTTGATTTACTAAAGGTACACAAACAAAGTCAATGGATRTAGACAAGTTAAAAGACGTAACAGTCATGTGATCAATCTTCATATCATTAGCTTGATTAAGTCATGCATCTTGTTTCCAAAACAAAAAACTACAAAAGTTCTTTTGGAGAGACACATAACYTAGCAGAAAATCACATTCACAAAACCAACTTTATAAGTTATGTATGATTCTAATTCCTAATCTAGCAGACACATAAACTGATTAAGTCATGTACGGTTCCTATTCTAATCTAGGAGACATATATATGCAGAAGCTGTAAGTTTCAGAGATTCACAACACCAACCTTATAAGTTAAAATCCGAAATCTCAATAGCTTAAATCATTAAAGTAATTAAGAACACACTAGAACCATTGAACCTTTAGAATCTAGAGATAAAATTACATTCTTAATAGTTGAAAACCCACAACAAATATAATTGAAGCAGAGAGTCAAGTTACCTTAATTGTATATGAGACTGCTCTACGGCGGTTTCTCCAAATAAACGTGTTTAGTTGCGGTAAATTTATATGAAAATAATTGGACCTAAACATGAAATTAATTCCCGCTTGGATGAAAAATTTAGCGGTATCTGAAAAGAGATTTATTGAACAAATTTCTTTCTACTAAATATAACGGTTTATAAGTTGTYTGAGAAATTAACGCTAAAAATCAGATTCCATACCTCTAATTAATCTTCAAATTTAAAATCCTTCGCTTCAAAAAAAAGATAAATTGACTTGGGAAAGTGTTGGATATGACTCGACATTGAAACTGTGCTGGGAAGAAGAGTAGACC